GTATGAACATGCTACATATACTGGCATAGGATTATGAAGATACCAAGAATCAAACATAACTTAGGCAAAGCTCATCCAGGTAAAGGCCCGCAGCACAGAAGCAAGTCTGTACAGGTTCGTCCAGTGGACTTCTTTTTGTGCGAATGTTGACGTGTCTACGAGGGCTGGCGCAAGAGGCACTAGCAATGCGATGTGCATCTCTGCCTCCTGCAATCGCACACCCTCTAGATAGAATCAACACGACGCAGGGTGCAATGGATGAAGATGTCTCGGCGATGTCCTATGCAACTGCTCCTCATGCCACATACAGGTGTGTCTTCCTGCTATGTACAAGTGCGGGTGGCTCCACCTGCCGGCTGGATATAGCCGTGTAGGCTCTAATGGTGCTCGGATGTGCTGACTCCCCGTCATCTCAAACAAAGCAGCGACGCCTTCTGTGATGCCTTGCATGTATCAGAGAGTCAGCACATCACATCTCTCAAAGGTTGGCACGTATCTGGAGAGATACTTGCAACAGCGCACGTGCATGTCTGTCGGATCCGGCTCTCAGCACTTCGTGGGCAGACGTCTACCGGCACACAACGGCACAGGCTCGCAGAAGACTCAGGCCAAAGAGCTTCGTGCTCAAACCCTCTTCCAATTCCTAAGCATCAGAACTACTGACAAAGGGACCCTTCTGCGTAGACCCAAGGGGGTCCAAGCACCTAACGTCCCAGACCTTCCAAAATCCCTTAATTACGGAATATACCTTAAATTATAATAGGATCCCCAAAATGAATTAAGGTATATTCCTTAACTAAGGGATTTTGGAAGGTCTGGGATTCAGAATCCCCCAAACATATCCAGAGTTGTGACGTTCATGCTTCTGAGCCTCGGTAGGTTGCAACTGCTAGTTAATTCAGTTGTGGCAGCCAACTACTGTGCATGCTTATGCCTCTGGATACGGAATTGTACTAGATGGTTCAGGCTGGTTCGTTTTGTGCAATGCTTGGTGGTAGCTGCTGCGGTGGTAACAATCGCGACCCTTAGCATGCCGTCTGGGCATCGCAGAAGCTCACATACCTGAGATGCTCGACCCGTGCGAGTAGTGTGAAGAGGTCCGCAGCACGGCGTGCTTGAGAGTGCTGCCCCGAAGTTGCCCCCGCACTAAAGCTCGAAATCTCAACAAAAACTGAGTGTGGTAAAGTTTACTGTTCGGATGTCTCTGATGTTTGGGTTCTGGGAGTTGCCCAAACTGGGTAACGTCAAAACTTTAAACCAGTCTCATTCGATGCATCGCACCAAACTTTCGTACTCGTGCGCGAACACGAGTTGCCGCATTAAGAAAATGAGCCGAAAACAACAACACACGCACACACACACACATACGCACACAAACACATGCATGCCGTAACACAGACCGACATCACCGGGGCCTGGGTTCAAAACATGACATGTGATCATATTCCTATAGTTGACAGCAGCATTCTTGTTGCACCAAAACACATAGCCTGCAAGCTTAGAGTCAAGGGCTTCCGATTCAGGAGCTTTACTAACAACAAAAGTAGTAGTAATAATAACAATAATAATAATAAAAGTAGTAATAATCATAATAGTCATATTAATAGTATTAATAAAAATAGTAATGATACTCATAATAACAACAATCATAGTATTGTGTTTCTGGTACACTCGCAGGCTCTCGTGGCGAACATACAACTCGCCATGGGCAGCGCTGCATCCGAAAAGAGCCGACGAACAGACGGCAGCTAAGGTGGGAGTTTCCGACCATAGGGGTGCCTCTAGGATCTATAGGGTTCCTTAAAAGGGTTCTATAGGGCTCCTTAAAGGGATCTATAGGGGTTCCTTAAAAGGGATCTATGTGGTTTAGGGTTTAGGGTCTACTTGGTGGGAGTTTCCGACCATAGGGGTGCCTTATTTGAGTCCCAGAGACTCCAATATCCCTTATTAAATGAATATACCTTAAATTATAGTAGGATCCTTAATATGATTTAAGGAATATTCCTTTAGGGTACCATATTAGGGTCCCAACTATTTTCGGAAACTCCCAGATGAACCCTGCCGGGGGATTGCAGCTCCCAGCCCTCAAACCCCGGAATCCACTAAACCCTTATACTGTGGGTTTAGGGTTTAGGGTTTGTCGATATCAACAGTCCCCGCAATAAGGGCTCTATAGTAATCCATCAGGGTAGTTAAATCAACAGTTATCCCAAATCGATACCTAGTGTAGTTCATTCTTCACCATGAACTGCCAAGAACGAATGATATCCCCCAAAACCCTCTGCAACAACCCTAAGTTTTCACTTTCTGTATCCTGCAACATGACTGCATCTCGGTGGCCGAAGATGGAGCCCTAAACTCTATACGGTATGGTACTTCAGGATTTTGAAGATGGGAGGTATTCGGATCGGAGATTTCATAATTCCTAGTGCCTTGGTATGGTGGCGTTTTCAAAACTGGAACACTACGGAGCAATCCTGTCAGTTCTTTGGGCCACGGATATCTTATCGGCTTGCTCTCTACAACCTAAAGCCCTGATCCCAGACCTTCCAAAATCCCTTAATTAAGGAATTTACCTTAATTCATATTTGGGATCCTATGATAGTTTAAGGTGTACTCCCTACTTAAGGGATTTTGGAAGGTCTTGGATCCTAGAACCGCATAAACCCTCAGCCCATAAACCCAAGACCCCTGTAATAGTTCCACCCTGTAGTATATGATTGGCCCCATAGTTTCCAGAAAGCGGGGTCAAGTTCCAAAGTCTAAGGTTTGCGCGCTTCAGGATTTAGGGCTCAGCGCGTTAGGGTTTTTAGGGCATTATTATAAGGGCTGTGGGTTTAGGGTGAAATCTACATCTGCACCCTAACTAAAATTGACGCAATCAGCTACCTTGCATGACTTGAAACCACCATTTACATAAACCTTGAATAATGAGACTGCCACAGAACCCTAAACCTCTACACTAAATCCTAAACCCTACACCCTAAACTAAACCCTGAAACCTGAACCGTAAACCCTAAACTAAACCCTAAACCCTAAACTCAACCCCAAACCCGAAACTAAACCCCCAAACCCTCAACTCAACCCTAAACTGATTCCTAAACCCTAAACTAAATCTTTCACCCTAAACCTGTAAAAGGCGAGACAGCCGACCACGCGCAGGGAGCCGATCTGCAGAAGCTTCCTGCTCATTGGCTGGCATCATGCAACACCTCAGGGTTTTGGGGTTCACGGGTTTAGAGGTTTAGGGGTTTAGGGTCTAGGGTCTTTAGGCTTTAGGGGTTTAGGTTTAGGGGTATAGGGCTTACCTATAGTCTCCATTGTAATTCCCGTTTTTGGTTAACCAAAATCTCCATTAAAGGATCCTAACCAATTGGTTAGCCAGAAAAAGCAACTACAATGGAGACTGTAGATAGGGCTCCTTCAAGGGTTCCTCGAAGGGATCTATGGGGTTCTATAAGGCCTCCAGGGGGTTTAGGGGGCTTAAGAGTTTAGAGTTTTAGGGTTTTAGAGCTAAAGGGGTTTAGGCTTTAGGGCTTTGGGGCTTTAGGGGTTTAGGGTTTAGGGCTTTAGAGCTTTCAGGCTTTAGGGGTTTAGGGATTAAAGGTTAGGGGTTTAAGGCTTTCGGGGTTAAGAGTTGGGGTTTAAGCCTAAGCTTACGGTTTAAGGGTTTAAGGTTAGTAAGGGCTTTCGGGTTTAGTCTCGGGCTTTTCGACTTCTGAAAAGCCCCAACCCTCCAAGTCCCATACACCCAGGCTTTGATCACCAAGCCGCGACGTCGCCAGCCCGAAAACAAAGAAGTTGATCCTGAAACCCTAAACTTTCCCTAAACCCTAAACACCCCTAAACCCTAAACCGCGCTAAACCCTAAACCCTAAACACCGGAAAGGAAAAAGCCGTAGAATACAAGGAGGGTACTGCGACAGATACTGTGGAGCACAGCTTTAGAAGCCCTGAGTTTGAGCTACTGCTGGGGAGCATCAGTGTTCTCCTGCGCTTCGATGCTCGCTTTCGCGAACCATCGTAGCAAGAACTCCCCGGCGGTCGCTGTGGCTAAACTCTAAACCCTAAACCGGGGTTTAGGGTTTATAGGGTTTAGGGCGGTTTAGGGTTTAGGGTTTAGGGTTCGAACTGATGAGGCCCAGCTCCTGGAGGCTTGCCTCATCCTTGGTCGTGAGAAAGCCCCAGACCTTCCAAAATCCCTTAATTAAGGAATGTACCTTAAATAATAATAGGATCCCAAGTATGAAAAGTATATTCCTTAATTAAGGGATTTTGGAAGGTCTGGGGCCTGACGACTTCTTGGAGAATCGATTCAACACTTTTTCCCGCAGGACCGTCGACCGTCGCATCCGAGATGCCTTCGACAAGGGATGGTAACTCGCGCGGCAGGTGGGTTCTGGGCAAGTGTCCAGGAGTGCAGTCCTTTCGCCTTCCAAGCATGGTCCGGCACGCTTATGTACATTCGGCTGAGGGGTTCTGAGACTTGGGAAGGGGAACCTCTTCATCCTGGCAGAACTACACAACCCCTGTTTTGAACGAATAAGTTGCAAAGCTACGTCGCAACTTAACCCCCAAAACCCAACAATGTATAAAAGTTAAGGAGTTAAGGGCATCTACTCAGCGCTTTTGGGCCTAAGGACCATGCTATATGAGGCTTTTTGGGCCATTTGGAGCCTCAGCTGCTAAGCCTCAGGGCAAAGAAGCCGTGCTTCTACTTAAAGGATCATGGGACTGTAATTAAGGTAACTATACATTAAGTTAACTCAACCCTCAATCCCCAAACGCGGAACCTAAACCCTCAACCCTCAATTCCTAAACGCTTAAACCTATATACACATGTGTATATATATGTATATATATATATATATATATATATATATATGTTTATATGTATATAGAGCCCCAGAGGTCCCCGAAAGCAACCCTTACACGCTGCACCCAAAAAGACCCGAAGCTCCGGAAGCATCGGCCTGCACCTACCAAGGCCACGTTTCGCTTCACCGGGCGCCCCTCCGGGCTCCCTCCTGAAGTGGGAGGGTCTATAGGATTCAGGGCTTCCAATAAGGCTCCTTTAAGGGATCTATAGGGGCTCCTTAAAGGGATCTATAAGAAGTGGGAGGGTTTAGGATTTAGGCTTGCGGTTTTTTTTGCGGTTTGGAGTTTAGGGTCTTAGGGTTATAGGGTCTAGGATTTAGTGGCATATTAGGGCCTTAGGGATTTGGAGGGCTGACGTGTTGAGGGCTTAGAGGTTTGGACCTAGGGCCTGCTGGACGGGTGCCTGACAAGTCTTCGTGTTTTGGCTTTAGAACCTGGGGTTTAGGGTTTAGGGGTGTTTAGAGTTTAGAGGTTCCAAAGGGTTCTCTGAGGGCTTGGGTCAGTTTGGCAGGTAGACCGCTGTGGTAGGCAGGTAAGGTGTTTGTCTTACGCCTTTAGTTGCTCAGGCTTATGACTGCTTTCGTTTGTAAGGGCATGGGTTCAAAAGGTTCGGTTTTCAACATGTCTGTCACTAAACATTAACTTGAACTAAAACCATCAGCTCTACGTCCTACTTATTTTAGCATATAAACGAAAACCACTGCTATTGCCAGTCAGAGCTAGGCTGGTGGAAGTTGGAACATGGGCTTGGGATGATTAGTGCTGGGGTTCCCTATACTTTGCCGTAAAGGCATGAGGATAATGACGGTCCAACTTTCTTCTTCTACTATAGGCCGTAAACCCTAAACCCTAAACTATGTAATAAGCCAAGCTGCATTGCGGCGGATTTGCAGGTCCTGCACCGGCCATCCCTCCTGTCACACACGAGGGTTTCGGCTCACTGCGAACCTGAATTTGTAAGGTCATCCGAAGGGCCCATGTACCAAGCTGTTTTAAGAACGTGGCCATAAACTAACTGTACATGAGCCCCTTTCAAGTACCAGATTGGGTGTCAGTTTTAGGATATGAGGGTTAGGATTTAGGGGCTTCGGGGTTACGGTTCAAGGCTCCGCGCGGCGATCCGGCGACAATTGAAAATGGGCACTCCGCTCGTTGCTGAAGGAGAAGTGTGCGAGGCCAATGTGACAGCCGACGACCATCATGCCAATTCTCTATCACCATCAGCATCATCCTCATCCACCATGATGAGTGCCATCACCCAGAATGCTCTACACATACAAAAGCTGCTAAATGCCGCCGGATTAAGTCAATCATAATAATTGCACACCGCAGGGCTATGCTCCAGAAGCCGACAAGTTTCCGGAACAGTCGGCAGAGGAAGTGGCGATGACAGTAGCAGAAAGTGTGCAAGGAGAAAACAGTCGTGGCCGACGGCTTGGTCGTCGTCGTCGTCGCAGCCCTTCTCGCAGTAGCAGAAGCCGCAGAAAAAGTCACAACAGGACATGTGCTACATCTACTCCTTGTTAAAGCACCCGCAATGATCCTTTCAACCACAAAACCACAAACAAATCAGCATGTCCTTGCACCCCGAAAACTGCAGAACCAGGCTCCTTCACGCAGAAGTCTCGGAAGTCAGCGTACACCGACAGCAACCTCGAGAGAGTTCGGGCCTAGGGTGAAGGTTTAGGGTTCTCCTGATGGTTCAACTGGCAGGCGTTTTTAACTTGGCGCAACATCCATGCATATGTGGCATGTCTGTGAACCCATGAGTCAGCCTCAACATCGAGATGGCTCTGAACTCATATCTGATCTTGTCGCTACCATGACACGAGTCCAATCTAAACAAGGCGATGTATGGTCACAAAACAATAGAAGCACAAAGCCGTCATGCCGACAAAAAGCCATCACAATGACAGCCCCACAGTGGCAAATAACTACGACAGAGCGAATGCACAGCAGCGGTCATGGCAACCCCGATTCTGACAGGTGGAAAGTCCCGCATCTCGCCGCGACCCCCATGAAGCCTTACATCCGAAAATCCCGCAAATCTCTGAGAATGACTGCTCCGAAGCCCCGTAGATTCGTTCAGCAGCTTCCCCAAACACCCTTTCTTCCGGCAGCTACCACTAGAACAGGGCACTAGTAGACTACGAGAAATTCAGGAACCCTAAGGAATGGGGTTTGTAATGATTCCGATCCCTATATCAATCGCACCCCATCCCTCCCCATGGCGTTGTAACCCTCCGCCAACAGACCATAATCCGCGAGTGACAGAGCTTCTGACATGCTAGAGCTCTAGACCCGGACACTCAAAATCCTGACACAGAACCCTAAGTCCTAAACCACATGTAGTCCCAAAACCTGATGCAGAACCCTAAATCCTAAACCACATGTAATCCCAAAACCTGATGCAGAACCCTAAATCCTAAACCACATGTAATCCCAAAACCTGATGCAGAACCCTAAATCCTAAACCACATGTAATCCCAAAACCTGATGCAGAACCCTAAATCCTAAACCACATGTAAACCCAAAACCTGATGCAGAACCCTAAATCCTGAACCACATGTAAACCCAAAACCTGATGCAGAACCCTAAATCCTAAACCACATGTAAACCCAAAACCTGATGCAGAACCCTAAATCCTAAACCACATGTAAACCCAAAACCTGATGCAGAACCTAAATCCTAAACCACATGTAATCCCAAAACCTGATGCAGAACCCTAAATCCTAAACCACGTGTAATCCCAAAACCTGATGCAGAACCCTAAATCCTAAACCACATGTAATCCCAAAACCTAATGCAGAACCCTAAATCCTAAACCACATGTAATCCCAAAACCTGATGCAGAACCCTAAATCCTAAACCACATGTAATCCCAAAACCTGATGCAGAACCCTAAATCCTAAACCACATGTAAACCCAAAACCTGATGCAGAACCCTAAATCCTAAACCACATGTAAACCCAAAACCTGATGCAGAACCCTAAATCCTAAACCACAGGTAAACCCAAAACCTGATGCAGAACCCTAAATCCTAAACCACATGTAGTCCCAAAACCTGATGCAGAACCCTAAATCCTAAACCACATGTAAACCCAAAACCTGATGCAGGACCCTAAATCCTAAACCACATGTAATCCCAAAACCTGATGCAGAACCCTAAATCCTAAACCATACCTAAGTGCAACAACACATCCTCAAGGTCTCGAACAAGAACCCGAAGATCCCAGATTAGGCTTCCTTTAAAGGAACTGTAAGGGCTACTATAAGGGATCTATAATGCCGTCGAGACACCCGCAGACCTTAACACTAATGACGAGGCCTTCGAAGTCGGCAGACCCACACCCCCTGGCCTTACTGCTGCAGCCGACTTCTACACAGCCTATTTCCTCATTTTCACACCAGACTATCAGGCCGAAACGGTCAGCGTCAGGCTGCCTCACGAGACTACCCCTCACCAAGCTCTAGCCCTAGTTTCGGCCAGCCGCCTGCCCCTACATCGCCTGCGGTTTCCCAGACTCATCCCAGCGAGACCCCAGACATGCGAAGGCCATGCGGCGATCCTAGCAGCCCCGACGTGGCAGCACTTTGGTGTCAGTGTCCTTGTCGACACGCGGCAACTCAATGGGAGGGTTTTCGCTCTCCGCGTACCGCCCAACCTGCCAGCGACAGACCTTGCGCGCATTGCTCAGGTTCCGGATCATTCTCGGATTTTGCTATTCCTTGGTGATGTGCCATGGCCTGCAGATCCAGCCGGAAGATTGCACCTAGCAGAAGGCGATGTCGTCCAATACCTACCGGCCCGACACGCCTTGACTGTCGTTGTTTCCTTTGCAGACATGCTCCGGGACCCCACTGCCTGGGCCCCTCTTCCCCAGCCTCCCCCTGCCCAGGATGAGGCCGCTTGGGTCATCTCCGACAGTGCTAGTTTTTTGCATCTTGTGCCTCCAAGCAGACAGTCCTTCTTAAGGACTGACATAGCTACGGTTTTAGATCTGCCGCCTGCCTCGCTGCTCTTCCAAGCAACAGCACAGGCCGTCGCAGACTTTAGCCACAAAGGCGTTGCCATACATGAGGTCCTATTCGTCGGGGAGCGCGATGTCTCCACAACACTTGATCCACCGACACCTCGAGGCTTCTTAGATCTGAGGCCCTTGATGCTGGGCTTCTCGTGCTTCCCCATTGTCGGGGACATGCTTCAGCCCGAGATTGTTCTTGGCCGTCTCCAGTCCAGATGCCCCAGTGGTTATCACATTGCCTGTGCGGTCGGCCAGGAGCTGCCCATGCCTCTTACCGGTGCCATCCCTGCCTCCCCGGGCATTACCATAACAGTTGATTTCTTGCCAATCAACCTCTATGAGACGGACTGGATCCACCTTTACTCTGCTCCATCGCCCTCGCAGGGATCTGGAGGTACAGCTTCTTCTTCGTCAGATACCGGAAATCAAGCGTCCGCCAGTCGTCAGCCCGACGCAGGCACCGGCAGCACCGCTTCCTCTTCAGGAGGCCCTCCTACAGGTGGTCTTTCACATGCCGCCTTGCCCGTTTTCTGGGCCATTGACAGTCGAGTAGTTAAGTGTCTGCAGTTCTACGCCTTTCATTTCAGTCGGGGCGCCCTGGAGTACACCTCTATCCTCCTGTTCGTGTTGGCAAGCAGTGATCTGTTCCGCCCAAAAGCAAGCTGTGAAGCACGTGTCGACCCCCCCCCAGCGCCCCAGGTCCGTACTTCACCACAGCCAGGTTGCAGCCAAAACCATGTTGCCCATGCCCGGCAAGGTAGCAGCGACCCTACTGATGCAATGCCCTTGTCTCCATTGCTGACAGGGCTGTCACTCTGTCTCCTAGCCAGCCAGCCCCGGAGCTCCGGGCTTACAATCGGCCACAGGCTAGTGAGAGCCCTCTTTGTGGTGACCTTTATTCTTCAGGTCACGCCTGCTGCCAGTATGCAACACTTAGGCTATGACCGTCCATCCCTTGCTAGGCCCCTACCCCTTGGTCCAGTCCAGTGCTCCCGCCCTTCCCATGCGGAAGGCCAGTCTAGACGACCCGTTCCTACTCCCTGCAGGACCGCACACCCTTGGTGCGCAAAGGCGGCAGAGCCTCTGGACCTTGACTTTCTCCTAAGCGAAATACAGATAGGCCCCACCCTACTAGAGGAAGCTCTGTCACACTCAGATGAGCCACTCTTTGCAGCGTGGACATTGCTAGAGACCTTGCAGGAACATGGCCCAGCGCCAGTGCCAGGGACCACTGTTCGCAACGCACCTTGCATCGATCTTGCTGCTCACCTTCCTGTCTCAGCCTACCAGTCCAGCTGCCTCACGTTAGAGCAGCTCCTTCCACATTCGTCATCATGCGACCCAGCAGCTGATGATTGGACAGATACTGACATTTCCAATGTCCTCCGAAACACATCCATCAGCCTCGATCTGCGTACTGCTTTCGCTAACATCCCGAGCTGGTATGAGCGTGGATCACCCACCCCTGAAGCTCTGGACATATATACGGACGGATCAGCCTCCGTCGCGGATGATGATGTCAGGCCATGTGCTTGGGCCTTTGCCGTATTTGCCCGCTGTGGACAGGACCTCCTCCTCCTGGGATGTGCAGCCGCGACCTCCGTACCACCCTCGGTTCCTTTCTACCTTGGGGAGGTCCGTGAAGATGCGCTCACAGCTGAGTTGCTCGCCCTTGCTTGGTCGATCGCCTGGACTGCCCAATCAGGCCGTCGTTTCCACGTGCCAGTTCACCTGCACTACGACTCACTTAGTGCCGGAGGGGGAGTTTTCGGCCTATCCAGCCTGCCTACAGGGGGCGTAGAGGCTGCTTATGAGTCGCTGGCAACTCTTGTCGTCATCCTACGACAATATGCCAGTACCCTGGCCTACATGCACCCACACCACATCAAAAGCCATCAAGGCATCTTGGGCAACGAACTTGCTGATGGCTTAGCCAAAACAGCCCGTAGTCAGATCATTCCGTATGACCAGAGAGTTCTCCCTACGTGGCCTGCTCAGCTAGCGCGCCATCCACTTAGGGCTTGGGCCTGGGCCTGTGTGCCCGGCCAAACAGATATCCCAAGGCCCTTCACCTTTGAGGTAGAGGTTGCGCGCGCGCAAACCTCGCCTCCAAGCATCGATCAAGCGCCTGCCCAAGGCATTAGGCAGGTCCGAATGCCTGAAGCTGATGTTGAGTTTACTCTGAAGGCCATTAGCTTTAATGTCCTTACCCTTAAGGACCCTAAGCTTGACTCACGCAAAGCTAGCCCCGCCGGACTTAAGATCCTAGGACGCAAGGGTGTGCTCAAAGCTTCGCTTGCAGCTCACCGGCCCCACATACTTGGCCTACAGGAGACCAGACTTGGCATTTCGGAGGTCCAACCCGACCCCGACTACTTGATCTTCAATTCCCAGGCAGACAGTGCAGGGGTTGGAGGTTGTGCCCTATGGTTATCTCGTAAACAGCATTATGCGACCGCCACAGGTGTCAAGGTCTTCTTTCATGAAGAGGACGTGACCGTCCTAAGTTCCTCGCCAAGGCACATCACGGCACATGTTTTTACGCACTACCTTCGGCTACATGTACAGGTTGTGCATGCTCCGTCGCTTTCCAACTCCACAGTCCCTGCTGTACAGGCCTTCTGGTCCGAACGCAGACGTGAGATAGCCGAACGCCCGCCGAATACTGACTTCCTCCTTCTCTGTGACACTAACGCTAGGGTTGGCAGTCTAGAATCAGAAGGCGTTGGTCCCCACAACCCCGATACCGAAAACACTGCAGGCAGCGTCTTCCATGAGTTTGTCACGGATATCGCTGCCTTGTTGCCATCTACCTTCGAGGCCTACCACGCAGGCGAAGGCGGCACATGGCGCACACCTTTCGGCCAATGGTTTCGTCTGGACCAGATAATTGTGCCACTTGCATGGCGTGACTTCAATCTGCAATCCTCTGTTCTATACCTTGTAGAGACCTTGCAAAAGAAGGACGACCACGTTCCCGTGTGCCTGCAATGCGCTTTCTCGCGTTGGCAACCTGCTAAGTCCTACCACAGCAATCAGCGCCGTGCAGTTCGCCCGGAGATCCCACAGACACCGGATGAGCGCGCTGCTGCCCGCGCCGTCCTCGACAGCTACATACCTGCGTCATGGCTCGTCGGGGTCGACCACCACTATAATGCTCTTGCAGACCATTGGCGCCAGGCCGGACAAAAACTTGTCGCTACTCCAGCAAAAGCTCCGCGGCAACCATTCCTCACGCAGGAGACTCTGGACCGCATTCACTGGCGCACTGCGCTAAGGCAATACTTACGCACAGAGTCCAAAGAATGTAGACGGCGCCGCTTGCTCATAGCATTTGCTGCCTTTGTTCACCTGCACAGGGGAACTTCCTTTAGCCAAGTTGCCGTTCGACGCGCCGAACAATGGCTTCAGGACATAGACGTCAGTGAGGCCCGCGCCTTGAGCGCTCTCCACATCTCCACCAAGGACATCAGACGACAAGTCGCGACAGACCGGGCCGCATACCTTGAGTCCCTTGCCACCACTGCTGCTGCACATGACCTAAGGGACCCGGCGTCGCTTTATGGTGCCATCCGCCGGGCCTTTCCACAGGCACAGTCTGCGCGCCGCAGCACACTGCGTCCCCTTCCCTCGCTCTTGCTGCCCAATGGCCGTGTAGCAGTGAGTACCGCAGAAAGAGCTGAGGGATGGCGTGCCCATTTTGCGGCACAGGAGGCTGGCAGCCTGGTCACCGACGAGGAATACCTCCTGCAGGTTAAAAGGCGTAAACCACTAGCAGCCTGGCGCCTCGATGTAGCCGCCGTTCCGAGCCTCTGCCAAATCGAAAGCCTCATCAACACCCTGCAAAGGCACAAGGCTGCAGGCCCTGACGGCATAACCGCAGAACTCCTCCGGACAGATGTCATCACTGCGGCGCGTCAATTATTACCAGTACTGACCAAGGCGGCACTACGTGCCACCGAACCTGTTGCCTTCAGAGGCGGGGACTTAATGCTCCTTGCAAAGAAGGCTGCCCATGTCATGGGCTGCGACGGCTTCCGTTCAATCCTTATTTCGTCGGTGCCAGGCAAGGTCTATCACAAGTGCCTCAGGCAGCAGCTCATCCCAGCCTTCAAGAGCCACAGACATGCCTTTCACGCAGGCATACTCCCTGGGCAGGGCATAGAGCTCATATCCATCACCGCCAAAGCATTCTTTTCCCTCTGTAATTCCCGTGGAGGCCATGCCTCGCTGGTATTTTTTGATTTGAAGGCTGCCTTCTATCAAACGATACGCCAGCTTGTCGTCCATACCGCCGACGACGACCAAAGTCTTTTGGCACTCTTTCACCGCATGGCATTGCCCCCCAGTGCATTGGCCGAGCTCAAGGCCAAACTCCAAGCAGTCACTGCACTGGAGCACTCCGGAGCCTCCTCCCACACCAGGGCCCTCGTTTCCGATCTGTTCGTAGGCAGTTGGTTTAGGCTCTCCGGTTTTTGCGACCTCACCCTGACACGGCGAGGAACCCGACCTGGCGACCCGACAGCCGACATACTGTTTGCCTTTTCAATCGCTGCTTACATGCGCTCAGCGTCGGCAGCTCTCGATGAGGCTGGTATGCTAGCCGACGTCCCCTGTGTCGCGCACCGGCCAGACTTCGTCCCATACGACGGGCCAGTGCCGCTCGGCTGTCCAGCCTGGGCCGACGACTTTTTCTTCCCTCAAACAGCACCCAGCGCCGAGGAGCTTCTTTTGAGATCCAGGAGTGCTGTTAACATTCTATACACCCAGGCTTCAGCGTTGGGCATGACCGTCAAGTTTGGGGTTGATAAGACCGCTCTCCTCCTGCCAGCAGGCACATCCCGTGTGAGCCACCCTCTCATTACCACAGACGCTGACGACCGGCCTGCCATAAAGGTCACCGATGCTACCGCTGGGGAAACGGCTCTGCTACCCATCGTGCACGTTTACAAGCACTTGGGAGGTGTCCTCGCCGCGGACGGCAATCCCGCACCAGATCTCCACTACCGATTCTCCCAGAGCATGTCCATCATTAAACCTCTACGAAGGCGCCTCTTTGGAGCACGGAGATTCGATCTCGGAGTTCGGCGCAGTCTGCTGCGCGCGTTAGCCGTCTCCCGTTATACTCATACGGCTGCGGCCTTGGTGTTGCCCTCTGCCCTCCACAGGCGACAGTGGGAGAGACAATACCTCTCCCTATATCGCGTCCTCATCGCACGCACGGTTGCTGATGATCAGGCGCACAGCTACACCGTCCTTCTCGCGGCGCAAGCACCTCCCCCCAATCTCGCCATAGCCGCTGCCAGGGCCCAATGCCTCCAGAAGCTCTACCAACAGGGGCCGTTAGAGCTCTTAGCCCTCGTGTACGACCATTGGGCCCTGCACCCTCGTACATCGTGGCTGCAACAATTCAAGGAGGACGTCGCATCGGTGCTCGTCTACTTGCCACATCTCCGTGAGCTCCTGCCACACGTTGATCCGGTCCCAGCCCTCTTAGAGGCCCATGCCAGAGATCCGTCTTGGTGGGGACGGCAGATAACGGCAGCGACAAAGCAGTTTTTGCTTGATGCCGAAGCTTGGCAAGCCACACGACGCCGTACTCCCAAGGGAGCCCCATCCTTTGTCGACACAGGTGACTTTTCGTGTTATCTATGCCACAGCAGCTTTCGCCTCAGGAAGCATTTACACGTGCATCTTGCACGTACACACAGGATCTTCAGTCCCGCTAGACACTTCGCGCTAGGGGAAGTCTGTGTCTCGTGTATGCACGTGTATCCTGACCTACGCCAGGCGCAGCAACACCTCAAGGCTTCACCTGCATGCCTTCAACGGGCTCTATACGTGCACCGCCCGCTCACTGCAGATGAGCTAACGGAGCTCGAGGCACCCATCAAAGCCAAACAGCGTCGCCTGAAAGCAGGCGGATGGCGACAATACCAGGGAACAGGTCCGCCCAAACGTACCCCTGTTGCTTTTGGGCCGCTCGCTCCCACCGCAGACGAGCGCTTGCAAGGACTCGCGGATGAGGAAGATGCCACACTGGATTTGCTGGCCTCCCTCTTCCATCCGCTACCACAACATGTTGTCTGGGTCAGTGACCACCTCAGTCAAAAGAGTAAGGAAGGTCCAAGGCAGACAGCAGAGTCCTTCTGGCGACATCGTCCAACGTTTCACCCAGAATTCAGCTAGCATTTTTGCGATGCGCTGCCCCGTGCCGTAACACGCGGCCCGCAGCTCGAACATCGGACACCAATCCAATCCACTACAGCTGAATTCCTATAGATACCGTGAAGAACCCCTGCTCTCCCCTCAAAACTCGGTCGCCGGCAGCTCCTCAATGAGCTGCACCGCCTTCGCGTGATCTGGCTCGGTGGGCCTCGGTCGGGTTTTGGGTTCAGGGTTTAGGGATTAGGGTCTAGGGTTTAGGGTTTAGAGTCTATAGGGTTTAGGATTTAATGTTGAGGGTTCGAACAGGACCCCCAAGTAACCTTTAACAGAGCCTTTATGGTCCTCAATACTGGGTATCTCGGGAGTAAAGTAAAAGCCAGAAAGTTGGAATATGATTATCCTAAACCTTTTATGGTAAATTATAAGGTATCCTACCCTGAAACCATATTCCAACTTTCTGGAGTTCCCTTTAATAGAGGGTAGTTGCGGGCTAAGGGTCGAGGGTTCTGGGCTTCGGCTCGGACTCTGGAGTTACTTAGAGGATCATGGGACTTAGTAAGTAGGTTATAACTGGGGTTACAAGTCCCCTAAGTGGGGTTATCCTAATTATAACCTACTTATAACCCTACTTACTAAGTCCCTATAGTCTCCATGGTAGTTCCCTTGTTGATTAACCAAAAACTGTGTTATAGGATCCTAACCATAAAATTGGTTATCCAAAAATTGAACTACAATCGAGACTATAGGTAGAGTTAGGCTTGGGCAAAGCCTTCCTATGCAGTGCTGGAAGGATTTGATAAGGGTTGTATAGGAAGGAGTCAGGAAGCCGGTTGTAAGGTCTGATCAAACACAAGAAAGGATTTGGTGAGGCTGTAATAAATAACAAAGTCCAACAGGTTGCTATAAGGATTCGATACGGCTTTTGCATGGTCATAAGGATTTCATGTGGCTTGTGCATTTAAATATCTAAATACAAGCAATCATATGTATATATGTATATACATATATATATATATATATATACACACGTGTTTGTATGTCTATATATATATATATAGGGATATAGACAAAGATATGGATATGGATTTTGACATAGATGTAAATACAGGCATAGGTTTAGACACAGATATACATGTACAGACAGGTATACGCGCGCGTATATGTGGACACGTATGAGTAAGTGTGCGCATGTGTATTCACGCATACATGTACATGTTGCTACAGACCATAAACGTACATGGACATGTGCGTAGCTGTACATATATCCGTGTCTGTGTCTGTACAGGTGTGTAAGTGCCGGTGCGTATGTGTAGATGCCTGCATGTGTGCATGTTTCAAGAAGAAAAAAGCAATCTAATACGACTACAGTTTACAAAGTAACATAATAGCACATATCATTTCTGTCCTCATAAATATCGTCATAGTGGCAATCCTTTGATGATGCGGTAACATAGTAATATCCCCGTATAGTCCATATTATAGTACGGTTGATGATATAAATCCTGCACTCCATAATAAGGAATACCTAGACATTGGTTTGGCGTTCCTTTTGTTGGTATCTGGGCCATAACTAACTATAGTTGGTTTCTGCCTATTTCTTGGTTTCGGGTCTTGAAGACTCTTACTTCTCGAGGTATCCCTGCATGATGACACTCTGTGTTTTTTGCACGAAAGATGCTCCAGTCGTTGGTTTGCAGCGAGAAACATCAGGACAGCACGATAGAAGCATTGCAAGACCATACATAGAAGGACCTTGTTTATCATCACTCAACCTGTCCTGACCATCTCATTTTGGTGTACACAAGCCACTTCTGGCCAACCCTGAGAGGCACACCAAGAGCATGCACCGTTCTGCTGCTCTGGCTCACCCTGCCTACATAATCCTCATCCATTTGTGTACTGGTGGCTGCAGGGTTGAGGTATAACTTCTGATGCGGTCGAAGCTCCAGCGAATCCCGCACATGGAGCATGTAGTGAAATTTCGTGGTAAGATTGAAGAATAAAAGCTTCCGCGCAAAACACAGCCTTGCACACTCATGATACTTCTCGGCAAATTTGCACAAATGTCCATGCGCAATCTGGGATTGTCCCGGCGTGAAGAAAGTACGATCCGTGGTGTAGCAAAGGTGCAGGAAGTCGTTGATCGCAGCCAGCCATTGAAGAGCACATGTTGCCACATCATCAAGTAGCCATGGCTGTCCTAGGATTTCCAAGAGGAACTTCACGATGAGGGTGCAATCTGAACCCTTCCTCGGTTGTATGTTTCAGCATGAAACATGTAGTATAGTTGCCGGTACTTCAACAAAACACACCCTAGATAGTCTAAGACCAAGGTTCATGGAAGACTCCGGCATGCAATTCATGCTATCCCATCCAAGGTTTTCCTTGGTGAAATCCTTCAAGTGTGGGGTGGCCTGAAGCACTGTTCGACAAAACTCTGCGAAAAGCTTGTATGCATAATGTAGGCGCGCAGGAACACTGGTGCCACCGTGCTGAAAGGGGCCATTGTAGCAAAGGTAGCAAATCAGCGAGGTGACACCAGTTCGCACAATACCCAAATGGCACAAATGAAAGATGTCTGTCAAAGCAAACTCAGCAGTTTCAGCACCAGGTATGCTGTGAAGAGGCGATGGGATAGTCCAGGGGTGATCCAAACCCACAGTCGACCTCCATGAGGCACTCGGCCTGAAATCTGCATATGGCGTGTCACGATCGTCTGCTTTACACCACGGACAGCACATGTTGGGAGCACAGGTGAAGTTCCGCTTCAAGTGCAACACACGGGCCTGCGCAGGTAGATCGCCCTCTAGACCAATCCACGCAAGGAAAAAGCGCTGGGTGCCAAATTCCATGCCAGTGTAGTATGCTTGCTTGCAATGAATTGCAAGGTGCTTGCAGATCGCATCTAGAATTGTATTTCCGCCAGCGTATCCACAATGAACCTCCTTGTAGCTGTCTCCCAAGATGCTCGTGAAATAAAAGCAATGGTTCACACTGGCTGGAGCCTCCTTCAAAAGTGGTCCCCAACTCACCTGCATGACCGCATGTTTGCGCAGGGATGTGCCCTCATCCATATGCAAGCGGCACGGTAGGACTCGGTCCAACTCATGAGCATGATCATCAAATACCGGGTGGTTCGGCCGGATTGGCCGAAAGTTCCGCCAAAATTGCTCCAGTGCTTCACCCACCGCTGCCAATGATTGGGGATTGTCTCCCTTGTTCCCAAAGAGCAACTTCTGGGGATACTTCTCAAGAATCTCCGTAGCCAGATCCCGAATAGGAATGATGTATTGTGAAGCAGCCCCCCCTCGAAGAGGCACATCAACACGAACAGGCTGTGTACTCAAGGCGAAACCCAGACGAAGGATGTTATTCATAAACACAGTTTCTTTGTCCGAATTTGCATTGTGAGCCAAGCCTAGCTGAACCAGCTCCACATACCCAGGGTTGCCCGGCTGCATTGTCTGATGGGTGTCCCAAGCAATGCGTGCTGCATGAGTAGCTCCATGTGCCTCAGATACAGGGCAGTACATTCAGACAGAAAGAAACGAGCTGCGACAAACGACAACCATGCAAGGCACTAGGTAGCTCTCCAAGACATTGTTGATCGCTGAAGCACCTGCGATAGGGACGAGGGAAAACCAGATAGAGAGAGAGAGAGAAAGAGAGCGAGAGAGAGAGAGAGAGAGAGAGAGAGAGAGAGAAAGAGACAGATATGCAAATTATCTGTCATAATCAGATATATATAATATAATATAATAGAATATAATAGAATATAATATAATATAACATAATATAACATAATATAATATATAATTATATATATATATATATATGCATGGCATACTGATTCGTATGTAAATAAAAGTGAATGTGTATATATATATATATGTATGTGGGTATATATGTTCTTATTTATATCTATGCACACATCTTCATACATACACATCTGAGTGTGTGTATGTATGAAGGTTTGTGTTTATATATATATATATATATGTGAGCATGACATGGTCCATGAGACGACAGAAGTATAGAAACGAAACTGCGTATATAGGGATATGCATTTTCAATTGAAAGTGCATACCTCTATATAGCAGTTCGTATATACATTCTGCCGCCAAGCATGCCGAAGGGATTCCAAGCATGTGACTTCCACGACTCCGCGACCTTTTCACGCCCGGCAGGACGACACCAGTGAACCCCGGTTGCACAGATAATTTCTTGACATGACATCCTGCCTACAGGCAAATATGGGTCTTGCCTAGAGCAGGTGTCCCAAAACACAGGCCATTGTGGCTAGACCACAACAGCAGTCGCAAATCCTGGCAGGCACCCTGGAAATAGAGAGGTAGATATATCCGTATAAAGATAGAATAAAGAAAGAGTTCTAGAGAAGGTTAAACACTCAAGCATCAGATTGAAGCAAAAATTCCGAAGGTATCCTAGGGGCCTGCATTCATTTGCACATTCAGGCCCCGGTTCACTCTTCAGGTGGCTCCTGCTTCGTGGTTGCCTTGCCCTTGACCTTGCTCTGCTTCTTGAAGTGGGTCCTCAGCTGCAGATAAACATAAATGTGAGAGGTGGACTTATAAACCTATAGTAGTGAACAGTTGTAGTTCTGATCGGGAGGCTTCAGAGCACTCAGGCAGTTGTTGAAGCGAATCAATGCCTCCCGGACTTGCTTGGCAATGTCGGTGTAGCTCTCCTTGGTCCTGGGAATATCACACGTATCATATGTAGACTCAAAGCGCACATAACACAGAGAACCGTGCAGGAACATATCGTATTTATAGGGGCCAAACTGCAAACCACAAAGCTGAGGCGAGCCGCTGCGAAGAAGCATCCTTTTCGAGCTCCTTGTCGCAAAACTTCTTGTAAAGATCATTGACCGCTCCTGCAGCACAGCAATGATTTCGGGGATAAACAAACGGAAGATGCTTGCAACCGACTAATGTTGTAGCGAGTTTCTCATGGCATCCTCAGCCTCCTTCTGGTCATCCCTTGACTGGGGCAGGAATGTTTGGCAGGCAACAGGAAAGGCAGACATTGGCATGCATTTGGAAGTGAATAACTTACAAGTACAGCATTCAGTCGAGAATCGTATGTCCTTTCGCATTCTCTGTTTGCAAGCGCTCAAGCACCTCCTTGAACGCACTCCGGCGGTTGAGCAGACTCTTCTTGTACTTGTTCACGAACTCCTTCAGA